TAAAACTGACATTTAACATAGCCTGTTGTGCTTGTATACAGCTTTTAGATCCGAGGTACAGTTTTCTTACAATCTTTGTTAAAGTCTGAATTTTTTTTTCATAGGAATGAATGGGGTAAAAAATTGTATGTCCATCTACTGTACTTCTGCTTGACAGAAAGACATTGTTTTGCATGTACTATCTCAGGGCAGGGCCCCAAGCACGAATTCAATGTTGTTCTGACCCACATTCATCTGTTTGTCTTTTTCTTTCTCATCCCTCATTTCTCCCTTAGACTCCCATTCATTTTTGCCCCCCACACAAGCCCAAATATTTCTCATTGGAGATCATTGGAAGGGTTTTCCCAGCCTTTAAATCAGGAAATCTATCTGTAGAGACTACTGAGGCACCACTACAAAGAGGTGTTTGGGCATGTTGATAACAGACATAGGGATGGCTATGTTTTTCTTTTTGACCACATTGTCCTTTTAAGAATGCCATTTGTAACTGTACCTCCTGATTTGACAAATATGGATAAATAATGTGTCTTGTAATGGCCCTAAGTCTACACTGAGTAACTGTGGATCAGATGGATGATGAGTAAATGACTGCTGGCATGCTGGTGATGCTGGAGTCATCTGCCGTGGTAAAAAGCATCATATACAAGGAATAAGGTTTTTTCCTGTTTCCCACAGTCATTAGCTGCCCATGAAACAGGAGCTGTTTAAACTCAAATTCCTACATTCGTCATTTGCCACGTAGTAAAGCAACATGCAAATCTGTCTGTTGGAGATGTAAAGTAGTTCTTACACACTACGTCTTTAAGCCTAAATGGTCAGTACAGCTTTTTTGCAATGTGCAAACTCTCCATAGGTTAGAATTTGAATGGTGCTTGCAGGCCACAGAGCAGCTGAAGGAAATAACTATTAAGGAAACAATATTAAATAGAAAGGTGCCAAAAGAGATCTTTGGAGCGATGCCAGACAGGAACTACTTTGGTTATTCATTCTTGGACAGAATGCTAGTGTTTTCCAACCTCAAAATCATTTGATGACTTTTTACTGTGGTAAAGAAAGAATGTTTACTCAACTTACACTGTATTTAGGTTGAAATGGAAGAAATTGTTCATTCAAATTATGTTGAAATTCATTCAATACCAATTTCAGGATTCTTTCCAGAACCTTAACGTTATGTGTATGTTCTTTAAACTTTCAAAAGGTTCTTCACACACTCAGATCTCACTCACAGAAATAGTTCTCTAAATAGCCATCCACTTAAAGGTTTCTTGGGATCCAAAAGTGGTTCTTCTACGTGGTTCATCAGGGCACCTTAATTTTTTAGGACTATTCTTGCCACTTGCTACTAAGGGGTACTAAGTACATTGAATCTGGATGTATTGGTGGATCTAAAAATGGTCCAATGCAAAGGTCACAAAGTCACTCCAGTAAGAGAACCATTATTTCTAACAAAACCAAACAACAACAACAAAAAAAAACACAGCACATTGTTTCTACTGCTTTTTGTATCTCTTTTGGTCACAATCTCCAGAAAACCCCTGTCTACTTTCACAGCTTTATTGTGACGGGAAATGGACATAGGAATTTCGCCAGGGCATGAATAGTTCTGGGTTAGAATTAGCAACTGAGCCATGCTGCACTGCACTGCCTGGTGGAAAAAGTAATATAGATTCTCTTTAAATCTCAGTACTTCTACTTGAGGGTTGTTAGCTAAAACCATAAAGATGTAAATCGTGGATGAACCCTGGCCAGATTAAAACTTTTCAGCATAAACATCACAGCACATGCAGGTGTCTTTAAGGTTTTATCTTTTTCCCTCACAAAGTTGAAGCTGGTGGATGCTAGTAACTCTTATTCAGTGTTGGACTAAATGTACGCAGTAATGTATTCCATTGCAATAAATAAAAAAAAATACCATATTAAGAATACATTTTTATTTAATTCACACTGTTCCACACTGTGCTGGTTGGCCATGTAATCCTTCGGTAAATGTGTGTCATAAAAACTTAATACAAATCAATACAAAACAAGGGAATCAAGATGATAAAAGGCACCTACACGCAGTGGATAGACGCTTCAGCCAGATTGAGGCGCTACTGCATAGCCACTTTAATGGATCCCAGATCCAAAGGCAGGCAAGTTTTGAATGCTATGATAAAGTCTATTTTGCTTCATAATGAATCAAATGTAAGTCACAAGTATAATCATTTTAGCCATTTTTTTTATTTTTAGCTATTTATTTTTTATGCAGATTTAGGTTTGTTAATGATTCGATGTTTTTTTTTATTTTAGTACACATCATTTATATATTTTCAGACACTTCACAAATTCAGACAACCTGAGGCATGCTAAGGATGCTCTCATTTCAGAGGTGGAGAAGATGGAGGTAGGGAGGGCCGCCACTGAAGTGTCAGAGGCAAAGCCTGTGAAAAAGGGACCACATCAAAACACAGCAAGCAGCAGCTTGGCAGTGTCTTTGATGAGATCTTTGAAGAGACAGAGACAGGGTCTGTGAGCATCTCATCAACAGTTACGTTGCAGAGCAAACCATCCCAAAGCCAGACAATGCACTACACTACTGTAGGGCACATGCTACATGATTTCCCTCACTGCCTGCTATTTCAAACAAATTTCTCTGTGCTCCCTGTACAGGTGTGGATAGTAAGAGACTCTTTAGTACAATTTCAAACGTTGTTGATGAGAAGAGGAACTGACTGTTTCCTAACACGGCAGAGATGCTGATATTTCTCAAAAAGAACCAGCACTTCATTTTGAATTGAGATTGTTGATAAGAGAAAGGAAAAACTGCAGCAGCTCCAATAAAAACACAAAATTGGCCTTCCTTGAAGACAAAAAAGTACAATGCAGCTTTATTATTTTGACATTCAGGTTTTACTGTAATGCTGCTACTCCAATAAGTAGAAACTTATATTGTTTTTTTAACATGTTAAGCTGCACCACTTAACTGAAATTAAGATTTCAGTTGTTTATTTTTAGTATACTATTTTTACTGTAATGCTGCAGAAAGTGGAATTTATACAACCTATTTATAAAAAACATCTTTTATAGTTTGCTTACTTTGTTATTTTGTTAAAAATAAAAAATAAAACATTTTAGCATTTTTTTTTCTTAATGCACGGCAGAGCTTTTCAGTTGTGAAACATATACATTGGATATATCAATATATTGAGTATCGGATCGAGACTCGATATCGGAAGGTACTTAATATTAAATAACTTAGATTGGGATTGGGGGCAAAAAACTTGATATATTAGGTACATGAATTTGTTTTAAACCAACACCTGATCTCAAAATTACATAAAAAAATATCCCAGGGCACCAGGAAACATATTCACAACCATTTTGTGTAACAACGTTCTGTTTAAAGGCATTACACTATTCGGATGTCTGGTTCCCATCACCACCACTATGAACAACTCTGACAAGAATGCAGCATTTCACTTTGTATGACACATCTTAAACACACGATTAAAGATGAATATCAGCTGGCAAATGTTATTTTTTCCTACTGTTCATAGACTGTAGTATTCAGAGGGAAATGTCTTTCTCCTTTAAAGAGAACATCACTAAAATGGCTATAATGACTGTAGAAGAAACAGACAATAACAACTAATTTGTCATGTACTTTATTTCATTTCCAGAGACTTGTTTCTCAACGCAAACATGGTGTTATTATTCCTACTGCTCAATAACCAATAGCATGTACAGTCATGTGCAAAAGTTTGGGCACCCTGGTTAAGCTATATGTTGATATTCTAAGTAAACAAATAGTTTTACTTACTGGGGAAAAATAAAACATAAAATGTGGCCTGTTCAAAAGTTATGGTGCATTTTAAATTTTATTTTCCAATATGTTAAACTTGAATATAAATAAATGAAGCAAATAAGCAAATATAAATTATGCACTAACATTTGAATTTGAGATAAATGTGATATTTAAGTATGATCTCTGTAGATGATGTGTTAACCTATTTTCTCTAGAAAAATTTAACAAAATGTAATTTGACCAGGGGTTGTTCAAACTTTTGCTCACAACTGTATTTCTGTATGCCAAATTTATGGTAGAAAAGATGTAAAAGAACTTCACTTGCTTTACTACTTGATGTCCAGTGACAGCGACCCTCCTGTTCTGTATTCACTATTTATGAATTAAATATCAGAGCAGTGCAGGAGAATGCACTATTCCTAGTAATCATGTTGAAGCCTTCATTATGCCATGCATCATTTGTGTCTGCAGAGCATTGTGCAGTTCACTGTACAGTTCAGTCCACACTTTCGATTTTCAGAAAGGTACCTGCTTTACCTTTCACTTTCTCCAGTCAGAAAGTCTGGTTCAGTTTAATATTTTCATAATTCATGTTCCTGTTTATATAAAAATAGTTAGCATGCACGAAATATCATTTTATCATGAAGGCCTATAATGAAATTTAGAACTGTTACATAAACTTGTACAGTGTTGCTGTTGGAACAAAACCTCATATGTCAAAAATGGTAACTTTACAGCAGAAGGAAAATCATTCATGTAATATAATGCAACAAATGTTTCCAAGTAATTTTGGATCATTTCTGTTGGGCCATTCATCATTAAATTTTAACAAGATACAAAGAGTAATTAGAGTTTTCATTGTTCAACTGTCCAAAAAAAGTTTTCAGAACACCAACAATGTACATTAAATATACATTTATTCCAAATTCCAGTGTTTTGGACATAAGAATAAAGACATTATTCCTGCATGAAAAAGATTGTAGACTATTGTGCACTAAACACTAAGAAACCAACCCTATTTTTTTATTCTTTTTACTTGTTACTGATTCCCTCTAGTGTTTCCATTACTTTGGCATTGCCTGTATCTTGGAAAATATTAAGTTGAACAATGTAGGCAAGGTTGTTTTTTTCCTCAAATAACAATTTGCATAGTACTGTCTCTGTGTACTGTAAATGGGAGGGACAGAGAGTTTGCATCTATATAACTGTGTTCAGGGTGTAGTTTGATGATTCAAAAGTCCTTGTACACAAGAGGAGTGAATCACAGCAGAGATGATGTCAGGTAAGGCAATTTCAGACTGAAAATATCTAAACAATAAATTAGTCAAACAGAAGTCTAGTGACAGATGAACTACTATTTAATGTAGACTGTCACGTCTTGTTTTATTCAAGGATGAAGAGACTGTTCAATTTTCCAAATTAATTGAGTAGGAGCTGTTTTTATAACACACATAGAAGTGTTTTTGATTATTTGTCACACACAGTTTGTTGCCACCAGTGATGAAACTTAATGAGGTGGGCTTACATACATTTTGTTACTGTACCTTTTCACTTAATGCATGTCTTCTAACGCACTGCTGATTCTTATACTACTACACACAGCATAGTTTCACATTTTTCCTGTTTTAACACTGACACTTAGCTCAGGAAGGGCTTGTCAGGAATTAGCTGATGAGTTGAGTCAGGTGTGATGGGAGCAGGGAACACAAACAGGACAGTAGTATTACAGACCAGGTTACCAGACCAGGTGTGCTGACGGCCAAGCAGTAGCCACCCTTCTGTGACTCAAACCAATCAAAATAACTACACAGGACATGCCCTTGGTTCGGTCCCTCACAGTAACACTTTATGTGGATAGTCCACTTTAGATGCTTTGTACATACTTAATTTACTTTCAAGTTACATTCAACTTAATATCCACTAAATTGACCATATTTTTCTCTAAATCCTAACCCTAACCTTAACTTCAACCCAAAACCTAAACCGAACCCTCACCCTGCTCCTAGCCTAAACCCAAAGCCCTGGCCCTGGTCCAAATCCTAACCCTAACCCCACCACTGTTTAGGAATTAACTAAGTTTCAACAGATAGTTGTTAACAATGTGAACATCTGTAGATGATCTACAGCGGGCTAAAGTGGACTATCCAAATAAAGTGAGACCGATATTTTCATTATAATGAAATAGGACATTTTCTAATATAGGGTATAACCTTATTTAGTTAGCTTAGTGAAGAGTTGCAGCTTGGAAAACAAAAAAGAACAAAAAGAGAAACTTTATGAAAAAATAAAAAGTAAAATTTGCACCATGCCAAATTTACCTCATGTTTTCTGATTACATTGCCTAGAGGTAACATGTAAAGTGAGAAAAACAGCAGCCCTAAAATGAAACCTTGTGGAACTCCAAATGAAACATTACAATGTTTAGAAGAATATGTCACGATGACACAAAACACAGTTTATTCCTCAATTATGACTTAAATCATTCTAAGACAGTCCCTGAGTTGAAATTGATGAATCAGGATCTTGTGATCAATTGTGTTGAATGCTGCACTGATCCAGTAGGATCAGAATGGATCCTTTACGTGAATCAGGACAAAGTCTCGGGTTGTTCATAACATGGACCAATGCTGTCTATTTGCTATGGTTGGAGTAAAAACCTTACTGGATTTTTTCTAGTAGACTAATATATTTTCTAATATTCATTTAATTGTTTTAAGATTTAATTTAAATACTTTACTTAAAAACAGAATGTTTGAAATGTCTAAAATTGCCAAATACAGTGGGATCCATGCTGCTCTTTTTTAGTATGGGCTTCACCAAGGCAGTCGTACAAACATCTTGGCAAACCCCAGTTGACAGAGTAGTTTGCAATAGGTCAGGAGTAGAGTAAGCTAATGCTTAGCTTATTTCCACAATTTGCATTTAATGACTCTACAAAAGATTTCAGACTTTCATTACACTGATCTCAAAATGATTTCTACTGAGTGCTAATTAATACTAATGAAATATACTGAACTTAATTCTGTAGAAATGTGCTGTGTTACTTTTTAACGATAACCATAAATCCTCCAGATTCTGCTGGCTTGAAGGCCAATTTGCATTATGTTTACAGTGGAACTGTGTTAGATAACTCTTAGATAAGGTGGAAAGCAAGGTTTTTTTTTTACAGTTTGTTACTTGTTACTATATAGACAATATATATAATACTAAAAGCAAAAAAATAAGATAAAAATATAAACTTTATCCTTCACAAAGATTAACAATATAAAGAATTATAAATATATAAAAGCAAAAATATTTACACTGTAAGGATATTTTACCTGAATTTCACATAGAGTATGGCACATGAGGTACTGATACATATTACACATGGGAATGGTGAGGAGTTTACAATATAAACGTTATAAATAGACAAGCAAAAAAACTTTACACTATAGAGATATTTTACAAGTATTCCACATGGAGTATTGATTATATTGCACACAGGAAATGGTGATGAATTCCACAGTTTATGTTCTGTAGATGTGTATGTGCTTTTTAATATTGCAAAGAAAAAAGATTATGTTTTCTTCAGAATAAGTTTCAGAACAAGTTTGTCCCACTACTCTGTATTTGCTATTTGAGACTGAAAAAGTTTGTCATGTATTAATAACTTTGTGAGTTTAATTAATGTTTGCTGTCCACTGAGACGATAAGGGTATAGGAATTCCCCATAAGCAGACTTTACCAAACTTATCTAACTAGAAAGTAAATTTGGTTAATGAAACAGAATATTCACCAAGAAGAAAAGCTTTAGTTCAGCTTACTTTAGCTATCAAATAGGGATTGGGAATAGGGGTCAAATCATGCTGCACTATGGAATCGTTCGGCCATATTGGCAGGGTTCTTTCTTTGTTCATGTAATGTCCAACTACAAGTGACAGGTGTGATTATACATGTATTCACCTATAACAAGAAAAAATTAAAAGAATAGAACTAACTTGAGTTCACTAATTTGTCAAATGTTGTAGTCTAAAGGGTTATGTCTAAAAATATGGGACAGAAAACTTGCCTCCACCTGGAATGACCTAATGCAACTTTTGGGTGTGTTACAGTCCATTCCTGGAAACTGGATAATATGTATCTTTGTTCTCAGTTACTATTGGTGATGCATACAATAAGAAAATCTTAGAGTGATTACTGTCACTGAATCACCTGTATTAAGAAGAATCACCAGATCAGCCTCTGTGCCACTATGTCATAGTTCACTAAATGCAAATTCATTTGTTTATTTAGTGATAAACCGATTAATATGATGAGCAAGCAAAACAGTAGCTCGTGAGCATGCAAAGCACTAGTTGATGATAGCAATGGTTAAAAACTGTACCAGATTTTCAGCCTTTTAGAATTTTTTTTTATTTATTGAAACTAGGAGTTCCACATCAATGTAATCCACTGAAACATGGCACGCTTGACAAGTGGTTTTCTGGAAGAGTCCTGGTTGGACCATCTCCGTCTTCATTGTAAAAACAGGAATCTTAGCTAACTGTTAAGTGACGATGTACGGCCAGGATCCCCATCAATCAGCCAGTTTGTGTTTAACCTGGGATGCCTAAATGCCTTAAAAGTACCTGATCCTCAACCTGCAAGCTAAAATATTTTACTTTGTGGTTGTAGTGCACCTTGTTGCCAGAATTCATTTTAGCTGCAGCTTCTTTAGCACACTTGTAAGTTGTAAGTAAAATCCTGCTTTAGCTTGTTTACATAGTATGTGTATTACATGTACTACATGACTGATGGGTTGGATCCACTGTACTTTCTGAGGGGGAATTAATGTGCCTAATTGTTGGGGATCTACGTAAGAGTTGTAATGGGATGTCCTTAATTTTTTAATGCCAACCAGACTGAACAGCTCATGGATTAGTTTATTCTAAAAATCCCTCCCCTGATCAGAAAGAGTTCCTGGGCATATCTGGTAAAGGGGTCAGTGATGACCAAAACAGCGGTGAACCCTTCCATTTTGGGTCAATTGACAGGAAGTCTATGCAGACTACTTTTCACTACTTAAATTGTGGTGTGCTGCCATTTGTGGCAGATTTTTCCAGGGGTGCACTTCCATTTCAAACTAGATGGAGAATAGCCATGAAGCAGCTCATTTAGAGGGTTTACAATACTTGAATACTCTTTAATAAATCTATGATAAGACCTACAAAACCCTAGAAAGAACTACGTGGTAGTTGGTATTTTGGGTCTACGCCATGTCTTATCTGCCTCGATCTTGGAAGGGATACCTAAATTGGCATTCATTTAGCAATAATTTTACCTTGTGTATACCACACTGTATCCCTTCGATCATCTGCCATCGTCTTTTTTCCCTTTGCACTCTTCTAACAGTTGCTTGATCGTACTGTAGTTTGTGCCAACTGGAATAATCACAGTATCCATAATGGGTGAATCAGGACAAACAGGTGCCAATGTATTCACTTTCAGTGTCACCCCTGGCACAAGTCCAAAGACCTCCAGGTTTTTTAATGGGATGAAGTGACACATGTTTCAAGTGTTTTTGGTAGAACATCATATATATGTATATATACATGTATATATACATATATGATGGACCAGCTAACCCCTTGGGTGACATAACATGGGACTGATTGTAATTTTCATGAACACTGATGGAACATGTTCTGCTAAAGGTGCCAGGCTGCTCTTTTACTAGTGCCCCTGCCTGTTTCCCAACAGTCAGTTCATCCACTGGAGTCACCCATGTAGTTTTGGCACACACTACATGGTCATCAGTTGACTGACTTGAGAAGTTAAGCCCTTAAACTCTCTGTTAAGATTACTCAGTTTGTCCTTCACTGGATTTGAATCCTGCCCTGCCACTGCGGAGACTCTTGTTTTTGTTTTTACACAAGCGTCCAATCGTTCTTTGTCCTCTCGTAAGCAAATCCTTCATTGCTATTACATCATTGGGCATTGCCCCTTTCATGATCTGATCCATCCACATATGATACACACTATCTCTGGAGAGAATGACCTCATGTGTTGCATCATTTTGTCCAAATGGTACACAAACGCAGATAACTCCTTCTTCCTGGAGCATAGAACATTATCCAAAGCAGATAGGTGACCTGGATGTCAGCTCTGCAACATATTTAGTAAGACCATAAGCTACAGATCGGCAAAAATCGAGAATGCAGGTGGAAAAGATGTGTTTTTCTGCTACTCTAAACCAGCCTAGACTGACGAACTAGTGAAAGCTGGAAAAATGATTGTTTGCTGGAAAAAACCCCAGAAGTGAACTTGTCAGTTGAACATGCCATGTTAAAGACTATAGACAAGCTAGCTAACGTTAGCAAGGCATCATTTTGAAGTCATGAAGCATGGGGAATGTCATTTTGTTGAAAATCCTCATGTGAGTGTAAGCCTGAAATATTTGAGAGACTGTGAAGATGAGCTGCAAACTAGCTAACATTAGAGGTAAGAGAGAGAGAGAGGTAAGAGGGGGTGGGGGGTAGGGTGGGGTAAGAGAGAGAGAGGTAAGAGAGAGAGAGAGGTAAGAGAGAGAGAGGGGGTGAGAGAGAGAGAGAGAAGGGAAAGAGAGGGGGTAAGAGAGGACAGCACCAACTTAAATTTTGGATGTCATGAAGCATGGATAATGTAGGAGAGCTAGTATTAGAATTTTTGTTGCAATTTGTCATATAAATTCTCATAACAGCAAAGTAAAATAGCATCTCACAAAAAAGTGTTGTACCTCAATGCTGAACGAAAGCACCTTGGCTAAAAGAACCTTACAAATGGATCAAATGGAGCACATTTAAGGCTAATGTTTGCTTTCATCCAACTAGTAGAAGATGGTGCTTTTTGTTTGCTCTGTAACAGCTTTTCAAATGGAAGAGGCAACAAAAAACATTGGTGACTGTACTTCTGATGATATAAAAATTCATTAAATAATAAATAATAAACATGAATAATAAAATTCCTCATAAACATATTAATACATGTGAATTAATTTAGTTTGTTTTTGAGCTTGTTGTGGTGAATTTTGACCAGAAGAACAAGATGTATAGCTCTGACACAGATAAGTAGAACACATCTTTATGTTAAAAATTTGAACATGTGGTATGAGTTAATGGGCATAACACCCTAGTTGGGTTAAAAATAACAAAACATGTGTTGTTCTTAACTAGACACATAGATGTGTTAAAAAAATGTGTTATGTTTAATACATTTGTTTTGAAAGTGTACAGTCAGTGTTGCAGCTGCTCTGTGATTGTAGCCATCTTCTTTTTAGTGCTTTCCACTATTTCTATTTTAGTTTGTTGCTCTTTGATTTATGTGTTCTCCCATGAGCACTGTCCAATGCAGTCTGCTGTGTTCTCCAGTGCTAAAATTACTAATATTTATTGATATTGACATCAGGACTGTGTTTTGTTTGGAAATGATATGTCAGACCTGATGTACTTCAGTGATGAACAAAGTCACCATGGCAGTAGCCAGAAATAACTTTAAGGACAGCCATCAGTGGAACTTGTCATTTAAAAGCCGTGTCTGCACGACAGCTTCAGAGTGGAACTGTGGATGGTTCGAATGGTCAAACTGTTAAAAAATTAGAGGCATTAAACATTTATTGCATTAACATGTTATTAACGCATTAACTTTGACACCACAAGTCTAAATACGAAATGACTTCTTTTTATATCTGTGTGATTCACATAAAAGTACATTCAGTGGAAATATATTTAAATCATACCATATCAGTACAAGATTTAAAAACATGCAAACACTGAAACATAAAATAGTTTATCAGGATTGTAAAGACCATTTTAACAAGTGACCTGCAAATTATTTAGTGTCTGTTAAAAACATTTGAGTTTTGTACAGTACATTTATTAGCAGAATGTGTCTGGTTTGTAAGTGGCTGTCAAATGAAAAACTAAAAGTATAAATAAGTTCTTTTTTTTTGCAGCTCCTATATTTTTGCTATTGTACATCATTGTCTCTCCAGGTAAGTGCAAACACTAACACTCAAACCTGTCTTTACACTCACATACATACACATCCAGATATTTGAGAATGTATCTTTTAAAACCAGGAAAAACAAACAGCTGCGGCCAAGTTTGTATTTATGTGTACTTTTGGGTCAGCTGGGGAAGAATATGGTTAGATTAAATAATAATAAGTCAACTTTGATGAATATTGCATTAAATGATGATGCGTACACTGCTTTTGAAAAAATGCAGTAGTTACGTTACAATGTAGAGATCCCTATTAGGGAACTCTGCCCTAATTATTTTGAGAGTAGGTGAAGTGAGTTGAAGGGCTGTAACCCAAAACTACATTTCTGAAGGAATGCAGCTCATCTTTGTGATCAACCTTTTATTGCATTTTACACTGCGTTTACAACAAGGAAGTTGTTTTAGTCAGGTTGTGATGATTTTAGAAAAATGATTAAAATTACTCAAGAGTAGTGTCTTTAATCCTGTGTTTCCACAGTGACTCCCACCTTTACTACAGAGTCCACCAGTTCCAATGAGATCACCACAGTTACACAACCCACCAGTCCACCCTCCAGTGGAACTGCTCTCTCTAACATACCTTCATGTGAGTCAGTGCTGAAGAACTGAAAGAAAAAACAGATGTTTTGTGTGATTGATCCAGATTTAAGGCTGTGATCTTAGTGTAGCTGCATATGAATGCATGGTGATTATGACAAACAGCCAGCACAACAAGAAGAAGTCTTACTGCCAAATATGTAGAAAGTAAAGCATTTATAATGTTAGAAAATCAGTGCTGGCTCCACCAGGTATAGATACATCTAATCTTAGTTATTCGAGTAAGCAAGAAAAATTGCATCGTGAGTCATTTCCCTGGATCAAGAACGTCAGAAGGTTATCTGTAGTGTAAACGGTATCTTATCAGAACCCCAAACAATTCTCATAGTCATGCTGTGATTAATGAAGATATAAATAGTAAGACTGATTAAATGAGGTTTTGATACTCAGACTAATTTATCAAAGTTTTGATTCTCAGGCTGTGATTAATGAAAGTTAAGATAATCATGCTACGATTAATCCAGGTTTAGATACTTAGACTGTAATTCATCCAGGTTTTTCAGTAGTGTTGAGTGACGGTTCTCTGTTTTTACCAGTTCAATAAAAGAGCATTCGCATTTAAAGCGCAATATTTCCTGTGTCTTATTGCACGCTGACGTCATAATACTTTAGCTACAGGAAGTCCTTTTAGTCAGATTGTTATGATTGAGGAGAAATAACTGAAATTAATCAACAGTCTCTTTAATCCTGTGTTTCCACAGTAACTCCCACCTTTACTGCACAGTTCAACAGTTCGAGCGAGACCACCACAGTTCCACAACGTTACAGTCCACCCTCCAGTGGAACTACTCTCTCTAACATAGCTTCATGTGAGTCAGTATTGAAAGAGAAATGAGACTCTTTCTGTACTATTTTATAATAAGGGTTGTTATCAGGCAACCATGTTTTTAGACTTTTTCTATCAATCAATGATTTTATGTGACACAAAATTAAAATTATTAAAAATATATTTACCTAAAATATTAATCAAAACTGCGTTACCTTTTTTTTAGAATCCAGTGGTAAGCAGTGAGATTGCTATGGCTCTATTTTTCCATTTATGCTTCTTTTCAATATTTAAAACTGATTAAAGGAATCACTCGATGTACTCATGACTGACAGCTCTGCGATTCTCAGGGTAGAAGTCCAGATCCAGAAGGTCCAGAAAATGTATTTTAAATGACATTACACCCCATACTTAGATAGTGATTAAACTTAGGCTGTGATTAATAAAGGTTTGGCTATATAGGCTGTGATTAATCCAGATTTAGAGTAGGTTAGAATGATTAATCCAGGTTTAGATACTCAGACTGTAGTTAAGTTACTCATGCTGTGATTGACCAAAGTTAGGATTCTCAAGCTATGATTAATCCAGATTTAGATACTCATGCTGTGATTAATGCAAATTTGAATACACATGCTGTGACTAATTCTATTGAAGGTGCACTATTGAAGGTGCACCGCCAAATGAGTGAAACAAGAAGAGTGACCAAAGAAGGAAATAAAGATCTTAAACTACCCGAATATGAAGAAAGTAAAGCATTTATAACTTTAAAAAGGCAATGTCTCCTCTGTCACCAGGATTAGACCCACATTAGTTTAAAGTTGTTTGACTAAGCAAGAAATAGTGCATAGTAAAACAACCCCCTGGATCCAGAATACTGAGACGTTTATCTGTGATTTAAAGTGTAACTTATCAGAAGCCCAAACAAGCATCCAACCATCAACAATACACAAATTTAACTGTAACCGTAAAAAATGTTTTATGAATTAATTGCACCAGACACTACATTTCAGTTATAATACATTAGTGACAGGAAGTTGTTTTAGTCAGTTTGTTATGATTATAGAAAAATTATTGAAATGACTTGAGAATAGTGTTGTTCTTCCTGTTTCAACAGTGACTCTCACCTTTACTACACAGTCCACCAGTTCGAATGAGACCACCACAGTCATGCACACATATGTGTTTGAAATGATTCCAAACTGTCCCCTGTATTTCCACAGTGATACCCAACATTACTGCACAGTCCACCAGTTCGGATGAGACCACCACCACGATACAACCCACCAGTTCAGCCTCCAGTGGAACTGCTCTCTCTAACACACCTTCATGTGAGTCAGTGCTGAAGTACTGAAAGAATAATCATACTTTTTGTTCTATTTTTCAGGCAGGAATGTTATCAGACAATCATGAACTTAGACTTTTTCTGTCGCTCAAAGATTTTATGTGAAACAAAATTGAAAATTTTAGGAAGACATTTACATTAAAATACAAAGTGTAACTCCTTTACCTAAAAAGTTACAGTAGTTGATCTTCTGCTGCATTTTGCATTTTTCCCATAACAATAATCACTGAGAACAACAGGGCTCAATTTTTTTCAATTTAATCTTCTTTTCAGTTTTTGAAACATCTTAATAGAATCACTCGCTGTGCTCATCACTGACAGCTCTGAGATTCTCAGTGTAATCCAGATATAGAGAGTCCAGACAATATATTTTAATGACATGTTACACCCCATATTTAGACTGTGATTAAACCAGGTTTGGATACTTAGACTGTGATTAAACCAGGTTAAAACACTTAGGCTTAAATGCTTAGGCTGTAAATAATCCAGGATTAAACGCTTAGTCTGTAATTAATGAAGCTTTAGATACTCAAACTATGATTAATCCAGGATTAGATACTCAGCATTTAATCATCAGCACCACACAAATGATCAGACTGTGGTTAATGGAGGATTACATACTTAAAATGATAAATTCATTTTAAAAGTTTTAAGTAATCAGACTGTGGTTAATCTAGATTTAGTATGTCCCACTATCTTTCATGGCCTCTCCAGGGGCCCCACGCTTGCTGTAGGCAAAAGATTTCTTGTAAATAAATTGTTCTTAGCTCTTGATGCTGTGCTGTTTGTGTAATCTGTACTAGGCTATGGGGTAGTTAGTGCAGTGTTAGTGTCTACCATAAATGGACAGTACATTATTAGAAGTGACCTGTCTGCTATCTTGGCCGTATTGGTAGTGATGATTGACAGTTCTCCGCTTGTCATCTGTTCATTAAAAGAGCATTCACCTTTAAAGCACAATACTTCCTGTGTCTTATTTCACACTGACCCCATAATACTCTAGTTACAGTTTTTTTGGTCAGGTTGTTATAATTAAGGAGAAATAACTGAAATTACTCAATAATAGTGCCTTTAATCCTGTGTTTTCACAGTGATTCCCACCTTTACAACACAGTCCACCAGTTCCAACGAGGCCACTACAGTGACACAACGCTACAGTTCACCATCCAGTGGAACTACTCTCTCTAACATAGCTTCATGTGAGTCAATACTGCTCTGACTGAGTAGGTTAAAAACATGTTTGAAAAACAATATTTATTTACTTAGCTTATTTGGTGAAAATAGTGACAAATAGTTTTAAATTGTAGTGATCTTAGACCTGAGGTAGCAATAAAGGAGGAGATTAACTGCTATAACACTTTCAATTTCCCCGATTAAGTGTCATTTATGTTCTGAGTTGAGTCCATCACTTCATTCTATATACATTAAAAGTTGCTCTCCTTAAACTCCACATAATTACATAATTGCTGGTGACAGTGCAGCCGTTTAGAGACTCCTTTGACTGATATTGTGGATGTTCTGAGATATTGTTTTTTCTGCTGTTTTCAAAGGTATTTAATTTAAAAAATTGTTTCATGAATTAACTGCACCTGACACTGCTTTCCAGTTATAATACATTAATTACATGAAGTTGGTTTAGTGAGGTTGTGATGATTGTAGAAAAAATGATTGAAATGACTCAAAAATAGTGCTGTTATTCCTGTGTTTCAACGGTGATGTCCACAGTTCAAATGAGACTATTTTATAATCAGGATTGTTCTCAGTTATATTTTTAGTAAGATTTTAGGTAAAACAAAATTGAAAATTTCAACAATACAATCACACTAAAATACAAAGCATAACTGCATTGTAGAAACAGTAGTTGATCTTATGGTGTATTTTGCCTAATCTCTTTTGAGTCTTACAATAATCAGTAAGCAGAATAAGGCTCCATTTTTTAAATTTCTTTTTAAATTTCCATTATTTCAATTTCTTCTTTTCAGTACTTGAAATGTTTTAATGTAATCACTGGCAGCTCTGAGATTCTCAGGGTAGAGGTCCAGATACAGAGCGTCCAGAAAATGTATTCTAAATGCACCCCATACTCAGGCTGCGATTAAACCAGGTTTAGATACTCAGACTGTAATTAATCCATGTATAACCAAGAGATAAACATTAAACAAACTCATACATGTTTAGGGAATTAACTAAGTGGCATAAAAGTAATATCGCTTACAAACAATAGGAAGTTTTAAACATCATGCAGATATGTGAAATAAGCATTCTTTCAATCTGTAATGGAATGGCTTTGTGACAGTGCGGGATGTCTTATTCTAGCCACTTGATGGATCTATGGATCCATGTTTGGAATATCAATTCAAAAGTTAAATTGATATATTCATAATTATACATCATATAACCTAGTTTTTAGTATGTCTATTCTTCTGGTGACAAACCATGATGAATAATCAACATTTGGAGTAGATATTAGTCCTAGAAATGTGATTTTCTGTTACACAAAATGTTTTGGTTAAAAGTCACACTGCTGTGTCCAGGGTCTTTTATTGGCCCCTTGTATTAGTGATTGGAAACAGCAATATACAAGTTAGCCAGTTATAAATGTATATATTCAACTACTTTTGGTAGTCTTGGTTAGAAGTTAGCCTTTAATTTTGCAGTACATCAGCTAGCAAGACAGGGGGCCCTAAGCAGGATGTGTGTTTTTTTTTTTTTTTGTGGCCCCCTGTCTTGTTAGCTGATATACTGCAAAATTAAAAGCTAACAAGGCTAACATTAAAGGCTAAAGGCTAACAATTTCTCAGAACATCCCACAATACCAAAGAAGAAGATGACATTTCTGAGGTTGTAATAAAGTAGGAGGCTGCTGTTATAACACTTATTATTTTTGCCAATTAAAAATTATTTGTCATTTGCGTGCTGTTTGTGGATTGTTGTATTGTGGATGTTCTCAGATTGTCCTTTGCTGCTGTTTTCAGTGGCATTAATATGTAAAACACTGTTTCATGTGTGAAATTCTCTGGACACATACGTGATAGAAATGATTCAAAAGTGTCCCCTATATTTCCACAGTGACACTCAATGTTACTGCACAGTCCACCAGTTTGACCGAGACCACTACTGTGACACAACCCACCAGTTCAGCATCCAGTGGAAATACTCTCTCTAACACATCTTCATGTGAGTCAGTGATCAAATATTGAAAGACAAATTTCTGTATTACTAATCAGGATTTTTATCAATCATATTTGTGGGTAGTTTTTCTATCACTCAAGGATGCTCTGTGACACACATTTGAAAATTACAAGAAGACATTTATATAAAAGTATTAAGCAACTACTTACATAAAAAGTTACAGTAGATGATCTGCTGTATTTTGCATGTGGAACATCTGTTTTTGAGTCCAACAGTAATCAGTGAGAATACTAGGGGTTGATTTTTCCATTTGTCTTTATTTTCAGTCCTCAAAACGTCATTATGGAATCACTCGCTGTACTTGTCACTGACAGTACTGAGATTCTCAGGGTAAAAGATCCAGAAAATGTATTTTTAATCACCTTACACTTCATACATAGACTGTGATTAAACGAGGTTGAGATACTCAACTAATCAGATTCAGATTCTCAGACTATGATTCATCCTAGTGTAGGTGCACATGTGATGAATACTATGAACAGCCAATTTCATTAAACAAGAAGAGACATTAAAGAAGGAAAAACCAAATCATAATAACAAAATATCTAGAAAGTATTTATAATATGAAAAAAAAATGCTGAGGAGTGTATCTGTAATTAAAAGTGAAATTTATCAGTATCTCAAATAAGCATCCAATCATCAACAATACACAAATTAGCCAGTTATAAATGTATTATTTAGACAGCTTGTGGTAGTCAGTGTTAGTAGTTTGCCTCTAATTTTACAGTACATCAGTTATCAAGACGGGGGGCCCCCCCCAAAAGGCTACAGCCGGCTCTCACTATGTAGGTTAAAAAACATGTTTGTTTATTTAGCTTATTTGGTGAAAACAGTAACACATAGTTTTAAATTGTAGTGATCGTAGAGCTGAGGTAGCAATAAAGGAGGATATTAACTGCTATAACACTTACTACTTTTCCTAATTACTGCTGAAGAGTCCATCACTTCATTCTGTATAGTATTGTGGATGTTCTGAGATATAGTTTTTTCTGCTGTTTTAAAAGGTGTTTACTTTTAAAAATTGTTTCATGAATTAATTGCACCAGACACTACATTTCAGTTATAATACTTTAGCTACGGTTACAGTGATGATTGTAGAAAAATGATTGAAATGACTCAAGAACAGTGTCGTTATTTCTGTTTCAACAGTGATGCCCAGCTTTACTACACAGTCCATCAGTCTAAACAAGACCACCACAGCCATGCAACCCACCAGTTCAGCCTCCAGTGGAGGTACTCTCTCTCACACATCTTCATGTGAGTTAGTGATGAAGAACTGAAAGAAAAATCAGGCTTATCAGACAATCATGAATTTAGACTTTTTCTGTCGCTCAAGGATTTTATGTGAAACACAATTGAAAGTTTGAAGAGTACATTAGTGTAACTGCTTTACCTAAATTATAGTAGTTGATCTTCTGCTGTATTTTGCTTAATAGTCTAACAATAATCAGTAGAACAATAGAACATTTTAAAAATTGGTCTTCTTTTCAGTTTTCGAAACATCTTAATGGAATCACTCACTGTGCTCGTCACTGACAGCTCTGAGATTGTCAGGGTAGAAGTCCAGATACAGAGAGTCTGGAAAATGTATTTTTAATGACACGCTACACCCCTTTACTCAGACTGTGGTAAAACTAGGTTTAGATACTCAGGCTGTAATTAATCCCTGTGTAGGACAGCCAATCATGTGAAACAAGCAAAAGCCATCAAAGAAGCATAAAATCATAATATCTAAAAATGTAAAAACAAAAGCATTTATAACTTAAAAAAACAGTGCTGTCTCCAGTGCCACCAAGATTAGATACAACTAAATTTAAAGTTAGCTGAGTAAGCACGAAATACTGAATCCTGAAACAAACCTCTGGATTAAGAACATCAGAAGGTTATCTGTAATTTAAACTGCAACTTATCAGAACCCCAAACAATTCTTGTAGTCATGCTGTGATTAGCACATATATCAATACTCAGTGTAGCGGAACAAGCATTTTCAATGATGTTTTTATTGCCTGAACCTTAAATAAGAAGTTAGAGTAACCCGGATTTACCTAAAATCTACAGACCAAAAACAATAGAGACAACACGCTCACACCAAGGATACTTCAATCAAAAAGGAATTTATTGGCAAAATATCAAAAAACATTCAAATTACTTTCCATGATTTAGGAGATAAAAGAAAAAACAGATCAAATAACGTAATTCACAACTAAAATAGTATGAGACACTATGGCTTAAGGCACTCCCTGGGAAGGCAACCCGAAGCTTAGGCGTGTAAGGGACCTCCAGTGAGTTAACCCAAGTGTGGACGTGTGTAGCTATTTGAGTATGTATGTCTATCAAAGGGTTTTAACCTATTAAATAAAATACTGTCGGATACCTGAGTGCATAAAATGTGAACACAGTCTTACTTTGGAGTCGAGAAGGCAGACTTCAAACCCTCCAGGAGGGGTCATCTCGGAACTGGGCTGGATCCGTTGGTGGTGGCAGCTTCGCCGCGGCAGCCAGACAGCAGAAGTGGCCTCAGTCAGCGACTGGGCAGAGGCGTCTTGAGGCTGCACAAGAATAGAGAGCTTTGAAGATCTTCTGGTGTTTAGTCTACTCACAGACTGGCACGTAGCTGCTGGTAAGGTTCCAAGGTCCGGGTGGTGGCTAGGCTGCTCTGACTCCTCAGGCGACGGTTCTGGGTGCACTCAGGTTTCTGAGGCTAGTTGATACTAATCCAGATAACTATTTGGCTGAAAGGAAATTGAAGTAATCAGTTGATGGCCGGTCGACAGACTGCTTCACCTTCCTTTTCTAAGTGTGGTTTAAAACTTAAGGTGTAGACAAACTAACAAACGAAACACAAAGACAACGAAAGACAACCTGCTCAGATCTGTTAAACGAACGTTATGTTTTCTGGCCTAGGTCGGCACTAACTTGTGATTTTAGGTAGTCTTTCTTCTCCGAGCTCAGAACTAATCCGAACATGCATTGTGCTCGGGTTTGTCCGGCTGTAGGCCCTTCCCTTTGGAAGTGAAGCCAGAGTGCTGATTCTTTTCACCTAAAGGGTAATTAGCTATTTGAAACGGTGGTGCATAATCTATGAGTGCCTCCCCAAGAATCACACCCTCCCTTTTCTTCCAAATCTTTATTTGTTATAACCAGGCAATGAAATACTATTTAAATACCAGAACAGTTTGGATTATTCCTTCAAACTTGTAAAAACCGAGGGAAAAAATGAGCAGAACATTTGTTTATGTTTCATAACAGACAGTTTTAACCCATGTTACCTGAAAAGCAACACATATATCAAAAGACACAAGCAAACCTTGTATGTATTCTCTCGGTATTGTTTGTTCTGGGAGATTCACCCACAATATAATTGTTAACTAGGAAAGAAATAAACAAAAATGAAATAAGAAATACATATTTAGGTTACCTACATATCAGTGTTCTAAACCCACTACAATCACATGGCTACATCGGTAAGTTATCAAAGTGATACATTATGTAATCCTAGCATCTAATAATAGAAAAGGTAGATATTTTAGGGAATTGACTACGTAACATACAGGTAACATCGCTTTTAAACCATATAAAACGTTAAATATCATGTATACAATGTAAATACGAGTTTTTCTTTCACACTGGGGAAATGATTTTGTGCCTATGTGTCATGTCTCATTGTCACCACTGGTGGTGCTTTGAGTCCATGTCTGAAATATCAATAAAATCCAGAAAGGGCTAATGTAATAAATCCTCCAAACAATTTCATTCTCGAAATCGCCAGTCTCCTTGAAACAAACTATGATGAGTTATTTCAATCTGGAGTTGATACACACTTTAGAAATTTGATTTTTCAAGGTTTTGATACTCAGATTAATTAATCCAAGTTCAGATTCTCAGGCTGTGATTATTCTGGTTTCAGATACTCAGACTGTGATTAATAAAGATTTAGATATTTATACTGTGATTAATCCATATTTAGATATTCAGAGTGTAATTAATTTAGGTTTAGATCAGGCTGTAATTAATTCAGGTTTAAATATTCAGACCATGGTTAATCTAGGATTAGATACTCAAGATGTGATTCAGGGTTAGATGCTCAGAATCTAATGATAAGTACACAAATCTTCATATTTTGAGGTTTATGTACTCATACTGTGATTAATCCAGGTTTAGATTCTCAGGCTGTGATTAATCCAGGTTAAGATACTCATACTGTGATTAACCAGGTTTAGATAATCATGCTGTAATTAATCTGAGTTTTGATACCTTGGCTATGATATATTCAGGTGTAGATACTCAGGCTGTGATTAATCCAGATTTAGAGTGTGTCAGAGCGATTCCAGATTTAGATATTCACACTGTAGTTAACCTACTCATGTTGTGATTGACCAAATTTTAGATACTCATGCTGTTGTTAATCCATGATTAGGTACTCATACTGGGATTTGTCTGAGTTTAAATACTTAGAGTGTAATTTATCCAGATGTAGAGACTCAGGATGTGATTAATTCAGGTTTAGGAACTCAGATTTTGCTCAATCCAGGTTTAGATACTCATGCTGTGATTAATCTAGGTTTAGATACTAAGGCTGTGTTTAATCCTATTGGAGGTACACATGAATTTGTGATCTTTATAAAGAACAGCCAAATATGTGAAACAGCCAAGAACATGAAGAGTCACCAAGGAAGGAAAAAAGAGATTAGACTACCTAAATATGAAGAATATGAAGTCAAGCCCCTGGATCCAGAATGCTGAGTTTTATCAGTAATTTAAAGTGTAACTTATCAGAACCCCAAACAAGCATCCAACCATCAACAATACACAAATTAGCCTGTTATAAATGTATATCTTACTCAACTTTTGGTAGTCAGTGTTAATAGTTAGCCTTTAATTTTGTAGCAAATCAGCTAGTAAGATGGGGTCCCCCAAGAAAACACATTTTGTTTAGGGCTGTAAAAGGCTAGAGCCAGACCTGACTGTATGGGTTAAAAAGCATGTTTGAAAACAAGTCCGGGTTAATTTAGTTCATTTGGTGAAAACAGTGATACATAGTTTAAAATTCTAGTGAACATAGAGCCAAAGTAGTAATAAAGGAGGAGACTGCTGTTATAACACTTAATATTTTTCCCAATTAAAAGTTAAAAACTAAAACCTCACACAGTACAGAATTGTTGGTGAAAACAGTGTTTTATGTGTGAAATTCTCTGGACACATATGTGGGATTGAAATGATTCAAAAGTGTCCCCTGTATTTCCACAGTGACACTCAACTTTACTGCACTTTCCACCAGTTCAAATGAGGCCACCACTGTGATACAACCCACCAGTTTACCCTCCAGTGGAAATACTCTGTCTAACACATCTTCATGTGAGTCAGTAATGAAATATTGAACGACAGATCAGACTCTTTCTGTATTATTAATCAGGATTGTTTTCAGACAAACATGCTTGTAGTTATTTTTCTATCACTGAAGCATGTTATGTGACACACATTTGAAAATTACAAGAATACATTTGCATAAAAGTACAATTATATGCATTACATAAAGAGTTACAGTAGTTGATCTGCTGTATTTTGCTTGTGGAACGTTCAACAGTAATCAGTGAGAATACTGGGGCTCGATTTTTCCATTTGTCTTTCTTTTCAGTACTCGAACCGCCATAATGGAAACACTTGTGCTTGTCATCGATAGCACTGAGATTCTCAGGGTAGATGTCCAGATCCAGAAGGTCCAGAAAATGTATTTTAAAAGACGTTACACTCCATACTTAGATTGTGATTAAACCAGGTTTAGATACTGAGACTGTGTTTAATCCAAGTTTAAATGCTCAGACTATAATTAATCCAGGTTTACATGATTAATCTACGTTTAAAGAATCATGATTTGAGTAATCTGGATACTCAGCATTCAATCATCAGCAATAAACTAAATATCAGACTTTTTTAAAAATCTAGGTTTAGATACTCTGACAGTGATTAATCTGGTGTTAAATACACAGACTGATCCTGTGTTTCCACAGTGACTCCCAACTTTACTACACAGCCCACCAACTCCAGCGAGACCACCACACAACCCACCAGTTCACCCTCCAATGGAACTCCACTCTCTAAAACACCTACATGTAAGTCGATGCTGAAAAACTGTAAAAACAAATCAGACTCTTCTGTACTATTATATAATCAGGATTGTTATTGATTGAGTTTTTAGATTTGTTTTTAGTTTAAGTTTTTAAGTGAAACAAAATTGAAAATTTCAACAATACAATTACATTAAAATACAAAGCATGACTGCAATATAGAAAAAGTTACAGTAGTTGATCTTATGGTGCATTTTGCTTCATCTCTTAATAATCAGTAAGAATAATGGAGCTCCATTTTTAAAATTTGTTGTTTTTTTCCGTACTTAAAATGTCTTAATGGAATCACTCGCTGTGCTCATCACTGACAATGGTAAATTTCTCATGATAGAAGTCCAGATCCAGCGAGTCCAGAAAATGTGTTTTTAATGATGTTAAACCCCATACTCATACTGATTAAACTAGGTTTAGATACTCAGGCTGTGATTAATTTAGGTTCACATAATCAGACTGTGACTAATCCATATTTACTGGTTTGGATACTCAGGCTGTGATTAATCCAGATTTAGAGTGTGCCAGAATGATTAATCCAGGTTTAGATACTCACACAGTAGTTAATGTACTCATGCTGTGATTGACCAAAGTTTAGATACTCGTGCTGCTGTTAATCCATGATTAGGTACTCATATTGGGATTTGTCCCAGTTTAGATATTTAGGCTGTGATTTGTCCAGATTTAGATACTTATGGTGTGATTAATCTAGATTTAGATACTTAAACTATGATGAATCCTATTGAAAGTGCACATGAATGTGTGATTTTATGAAGAACAGCCAAACATGTAAAACAGCCAAGTACATGAGAGTCACCAAAGAAGGAAAAAAGAGATTAGACTACCTAAATATGAAGAAAGTAAAGCATTTCATAACTTTAAACTGACAATGTGTCCTTAGACACCAGGAGTAGACAAAAGCTTAAAGATAGCTGACTAAGCAAGAAATAGAGCTTAGTGAGACAAGCCCCTGGATCCAGAATGCTGAGAAGTTTATCAGTAATTTAAAGTGTAACTTATCTGAACCCCAAACAAGCATCCAACCATCAACAACACACAAATTAGCCTGTAATAAATGTGGATCTCAGACAGCTTTTGGTAGTCAGTGTTAGTAGTTTAGCCTTTAATCTGGCAGTACATCAGCTAGCAAGACGGGGCCCCCCAAAAAACACATGCTGCTTAGGGCCATAAAAGGCTAGAGCCACACCTGACTGTCTGGGTTAAAAAGCATGTTTGAAAACAAGTCTTAAACAAGAGTTTATTTAGCTTATTTGGTAAAACCAGTGATTCATAGTTTAAAGTAGTCTAGTCACAATAGAGCTGAAGTAGTAATAAAGGAGGAGGCTGATGTTATAACAATTATTTTTTAATTGTGGAAATCTGTAAAGTTGGTCCAGTATGCTGTTTTCTTCAGTCCCCTAAAACCTCACACAGTACAGAATTGTTGGTGACAGTGCAGCTCCTTAGACACTTCATCTTCTTCTCTGACTGATATTCTGGATGTTCTCAGATTGTCCTTTGATGCTGTTTTCAGTGTTATTAAAATGTAAAACAGTGTTTTATGTGTGAAATTCTCTGGACACATATGTGGGATTGAAATGATTCAAAAGTGTCCCCTGTATTTCTACAGTGACACTCAACTTTACTGCACTTTCCACCAGTTCAAATGAGGCCACCACCGTGATACAACCCACCAGTTTACCCTCCAGTGGAAATACTTTCTCTAACACATCTTCATGTGAGTCAGTAATGAAATATTGAACGACAGATCAGACTCTTTCTGTATTATTAATCAGGATTGTTTTCAGACAAACATGCTTGTAGTTATTTTTTCTATCACTGAAGCATGTTATGTGACACACATTTGAAAATTACAAGAATACATTTGCATAAAAGTACAATTACATGCATTACATAAAGAGTTACAGTAGTTGATCTGCTGTATTTTGCTTGTGGAACGTTCAACAGTAATCAGTGAGAATACTGGGGCTCGATTTTTCCATTTGTCTTTCTTTTCAGTACTCGAACCGCCATAATGGAAACACTTGTGCTTGTCATCGATAGCACTGAGATTCTCAGGGTAGATGTCCAGATCCAGAAGGTCCAGAAAATGTATTTTAAAAGACGTTACACTCCATACTTAGATTGTGATTAAACCAGGTTTAGATACTGAGACTGTGTTTAATCCAAGTTTAAATGCTCAGACTATAATTAATCCAGGTTTACATGATTAATCTACGTTTAAAGAATCATGATTTGAGTAATCTGGATACTCAGCATTCAATCATCAGCAATAAACTAAATATCAGACTTTTTTAAAAATCTAGGTTTAGATACTCTGACAGTGATTAATCTGGTGTTAAATACACAGACTGATCCTGTGTTTCCACAGTGACTCCCAACTTTACTACACAGCCCACCAATTCCAGCGAGACCACCACACAACCCACCAGTTCACCCTCCAATGGAACTCCACTCTCTAAAACACCTACATGTAAGTCGATGCTGGAAAACTGTAAAAACAAATCAGACTCTTCTGTACTATTATATAATCAGGATTGTTATTGATTGAGTTTTTAGATTTGTTTTTAGTTTAAGTTTTTAAGTGAAACAAAATTGAAAATTTCAACAATACAATTACATTAAAATACAAAGCATGACTGCAATATAGAAAAAGTTACAGTAGTTGATCTTATGGTGCATTTTGCTTCATCTCTTAATATTGAGTAAGAATAATGGAGCTCCATTTTTAAAATTTGTTGTTTTTTTCCGTACTTAAAATGTCTTAATGGAATCACTCGCTGTGCTCATCACTGACAATGGTAAATTTCTCATGATAGAAGTCCAGATCCAGCGAGTCCAGAAAATGTGTTTTTAATGATGTTAAACCCCATACTCATACTGATTACACTAGGTTTAGATACTCAGGCTGTGATTAATCTAAGTTCACATAATCAGACTGTGACTAATCTGGTTTGGATACTCAGGCTGTGATTAATCCAGATTTAGAGTGTGCCAGAATGATTAATCCAGGTTTAGATACTCACACTGTAGTTAATGTACTCATGCTGTGATTGACCAAAGTTTAGATACTCGTGCTGCTGTTAATCCATGATTAGGTACTCATATTGGGATTTGTCCCAGTTTAGATATTTAGGCTGTGATTTGTCCAGATTTAGATACTTATGGTGTGATTAATCTAGATTTAGATACTTAAACTATGATGAATCCTATTGAAAGTGCACATGAATGTGTGATTTTATGAAGAACAGCCAAACGTGTGAAACAGCCAAGTACATGAGAGTCACCAAGGAAGGAAAAAAGAGATTAGACTACCTAAATATGAAGAATGTAAAGCATTTCATAACTTTAAACTGACAATGTGTCCTTAGACACCGGGATTAGACCCCCCCCCCAAAAAAAGCTTAAAGATAGCTGACTAAGCAAGAAATAGAGCTTAGTGAGACAAGCCCCTGGATCCAGAATGCTGAGAAGTTTATCAGTAATTTAAAGTGTAACTTATCAGAACCCCAAACAAGCATCCAACCATCAACAATACACAAATTTGCCAGTAATAAATGTGGATCTCAGACAGCTTTTGGTAGTCAGTGTTGGTAGTTTAGCCTTTAATCTGGCAGTACATCAATCTGGCAGACGGGGCCCCCCAAAAAACACATGCTGCTTAGGGTCATAAAAGGCTAGAGCCACACCTGACTGTCTGGGTTAAAAAGCATGTTTGAAAACAAGTCTTAAACAAGAGTTTATTTAGCTTATTTGGTAAAACCAGTGATTCATAGTTTAAAGTTCTAGTCACAATAGAGCTGAAGTAGTAATGAAGGAGGAGACTGATGTTATAACACTTATTTTTTCCAATTAAAAGTTGATCATCATCTGAGTGCTGAATTCGTTACTTAATTCTGGATATCTTTAAAGTTGGTCCAGTATGCTGTTTTCTTCAGTCCCCTAAAACCTCACACAGTACAGAATTGTTGGTGACAGTGCAGCTCCTTAGACACTTCATCTTCTTCTCTGACTGATATTCTGGATGTTCTCAGATTGTCCTTTGATGCTGTTTTCAGTGTTATTAAAATGTAAAACAGTGTTTTATGTGTGAAATTCTCTGGACACATATGTGGGATTGAAATGATTCAAAAGTGTCCCCTGTATTTCCACAGTGACACTCAACTTTACTGCACTTTCCACCAGTTCAAATGAGGCCACCACCGTGATACAACCCACCAGTTTACCCTCCAGTGGAACTACTTTCTCTAACACATCTTCATGTGAGTCAGTAATGAAATATTGAAAGACAGATCAGACTCTTTCTGTATTATTAATCAGGATTGCTTTCAGACAAACATGCTTGTAGTTATTTTTCTATCACTGAAGCATGTTATGTGACACACATTTGAAAATTACAAGAATACATTTGCATAAAAGTACAATTACATGCATTACATAAAGAGTTACAGTAGTTGATCTGCTGTATTTTGCTTGTGGAACGTTCAACAGTAATCAGTGAGAATACTGGGGCTCGATTTTTCCATTTGTCTTTCTTTTCAGTACTCGAACTGCCATAATGGAAACACTTGTGCTTGTCATCGATAGCACTGAGATTCTCAGGGTAGATGTCCAGATCCAGAAGGTCCAGAAAATGTATTTTAAAAGACGTTACACTCCATACTTAGATTGTGATTAAACCAGGTTTAGATACTGAGACTGTGTTTAATCCAAGTTTAAATGCTCAGACTATAATTAATCCAGGTTTACATGGTTAATCTACGTTTAAAGAATCATGATTTGAGTAATCTGGATACTCAGCATTCAATCATCAGCAATAAACTAAATATCAGACTTTTTTAAAAATCTAGGTTTAGATACTCTGACAGTGATTAATCTGGTGTTAAATACACAGACTGATCCTGTGTTTCCACAGTGACTCCCAACTTTACTACACAGCCCACCAATTCCAGCGAGACCACCACACAACCCACCAGTTCACCCTCCAATGGAACTCCACTCTCTAAAACACCTACATGTAAGTCGATGCTGGAAAACTGTAAAAACAAATCAGACTCTTCTGTACTATTATATAATCAGGATTGTTATTGATTAAGTTTTTAGATTTGTTTTTAGTTTAAGTTTTTAAGTGAAACAAAATTGAAAATTTCAACAATACAATTACATTAAAATACAAAGCATGACTGCAATATAGAAAAAGTTACAGTAGTTGATCTTATGGTGCATTTTGCTTCATCTCTTAATAATCAGTAAGAATAATGGAGCTCCATTTTTAAAATTTGTTGTTTTTTTCAGTACTTAAATTGTCTTAATGGAATCACTCGCTGTGCTCATCACTGACAATGGTAAATTTCTCATGATAGAAGTCCAGATCCAGCGAGTCCAGAAAATGTGTTTTTAATGATGTTAAACCCCATACTCATACTGATTAAACTAGGTTTAGATACTCAGGCTGTGATTAATTTAGGTTCACATAATCAGACTGTGACTAATCCGGTTTGGATACTCAGGCTGTGATTAATCCAGATTTAGAGTGTGTCAGAATGATTAATCCATGTTTAGATACTCACACTGTAGTTAATGTACTCATGCTGTGATTGACCAAAGTTTAGATACTCGTGCTGCTGTTAATCCATGATTAGGTACTCATATTGGGATTTGTCCCAGTTTAGATATTTAGGCTGTGATTTGTCCAGATTTAGATACTTATGGTGTGATTAATCTAGATTTAGATACTTAAACTATGATGAATCCTATTGAAAGTGCACATGAATGTGTGATTTTATGAAGAACAGCCAAATATGTGAAACAGCCAAGTACATGAGAGTCACCAAAGAAGGAAAAAAGAGATTAGACTACCTAAATATGAAGAAAGTAAAGCATTTCATAACTTTAAACTGACAATGTGTCCTTAGACACCAGGAGTAGACAGCTTAAAGATAGCTGACTAAGCAAGAAATAGAGCTTAGTGAGACAAGCCCCTGGATCCAGAATGCTGAGAAGTTTATCAGTAATTTAAAGTGTAACTTATCTGAACCCCAAACAAGCATCCAACCATCAACAACACACAAATTAGCCTGTAATAAATGTGGATCTCAGACAGCTTTTGGTAGTCAGTGTTAGTAGTTTAGCCTTTAATCTGGCAGTACATCAGATAGCAAGACGGGGCCCCCCAAAAAACACATGCTGCTTAGGGCCATAAAAGGCTAGAGCCACACCTGACTGTCTGGGTTAAAAAGCATGTTTGAAAACAAGTCTTAAACAAGAGTTTATTTAGCTTATTTGGTAAAACCAGTGATTCATAGTTTAAAGTAGTCTAGTCACAATAGAGCTGAAGTAGTAATAAAGGAGGAGGCTGATGTTATAACACTTATTTTTTAATTGTGGAAATCTGTAAAGTTGGTCCAGTATGCTGTTTTCTTCAGTCCCCTAAAACCTCACACAGTACAGAATTGTTGGTGACAGTGCAGCTCCTTAGACACTTCATCTTCTTCTCTGACTGATATTCTGGATGTTCTCAGATTGTCCTTTGATGCTGTTTTCAGTGTTATTGAATTGTAAAACAGTGTTTTATGTGTGAAATTCTCTGGACACATATGTGACTGAAATTATTCAAAAGTGTCCCCTGTGTTTCCACAGTGACACTCAATGTTACTACACAGTCCAACAGTTCGAACGAGACCACCACTGTGACAAAACCCACCAGTTCAGCCTCCAGTGGACCTGCTCTCCCTAACACACCTTCATGTGAGTCAGTGATGAATTATTGAAAGACAGATCAGACTCTTTCTGTTTGAGATCCTCAGACTGTGATTAATCTAGGTTTAAAGTATCATTATTTTGTTAATCTGGGTTTGGATACTCAGCATCCAATCATCAGCAACAAACTAATTATCGGACTTTGTTTAATGTTTCCACAGTGACTCCCAACTTTACTACACAGTCCACCAATTCCAGTGAGACCACCACAGTCACACAACCCACCAGTTCACCCTCCAGTGAAACTACTCTCTCTAAAACACCTACATGTAAGTCAGTGCTGAAGAACTGAAAAACAAATCGTTATGTGCTATTTTATAATCAGGATTGTTATCAGTCATGTTTTTAGATTTGTTTTTACTTAAATTTCAACAATACAGTTGCATTAAAATACACAACTGCATAACTGAATTTTAGAAAAAGTTACAGTAGTTGATCTTATGGTGTGTTTTGGTTCATCTCTTAATGATCAGTAAGAATAATAGAGCTCCATTTTTAAAATCTGTTGTTTTTTTCAGTACTTAACACGTCTTAATGGAACCACTCGTCGTGCTCGTCCCTGACAGCGGTAAATTTCTCACAGCAGAAATCCAGATCTAGAGAGTGCAGAAGATGTGTTATTAATGATGTTAAACCCCATACTCATACTGTGATTAACCTAGATATTCAAACTGTAATTAATTCAGGGTTAGATACTCAGCATATAATCATCAGCACTACACAAATCATCAGACAGTGGTTAATGGAAGTTTAGATACTTAGATGGATAAACTCAGGGTTAGATATTTAGACTGTGATTAATCAAGATTTAATCTGCTCAAACTCTGTCAAGTCACCAGGACAGCTGACATTCGAAGGGGGGGGCGGCTATGTAGCGTCCCACTACCAATTTGTGCTGCCTCTCCGGGGGCCCAATGCTCTCTGTAAGAGAAAGATTTCTTGTCAATAAATTGTTCTTAGCTTGATGATGTGCACATGTTTTGTTTGTTTTAATCTGTGCTGGGCTATGGGGTAGTTAGTGCAGTGTTAGTGTCTACCATTAACAGACAGTGCATTATTAAAAGTGACCTGTCTGCTATCTTGGCCGTTTCAGTAGTGCTGAGTGGCAGTTCTCCGCTTGTTGTCTGTTCAATATAAGAGCACTTTAAAGCTCAATATTTCCTGTGTCTTATTTCACACTGAGATCATAATACTACAGTTACAGGAAGTCCTTTTGGTCAGGTTGTTATGATTGAGCAGAAATAACTGAAATTACTCAACAGTGTTGTTAATCTTGTCTTTCCACAGTGACTCCCACCTTTACTGCACAGACCAACAGTTCCAGCGTGACCACCACAGTTCCACAACGCTACAGTTCACCCACCAGTGGAACTACTCTCTCTAACATAGCTTCATGTGAGTCTGTGATGAAGTATTGAAAACAAAATTCAACTCTTTCTGTACTATTTTATAATCAGGGTTGTTATCAGACAACCATGTTTTACACTTTCTCTATCAATCAGTGATTTTAATATTAAGAATATTTACCTAAAAATACTAAGCAAAACTGCATTTTAAGACCTAAAAACTTACAGTAGTGGATCTTCTGCTGTAGTTTGTCTCTGGAATGTCTCTTTTGAGGCTTCCACAGTAATCTGTAGGAATTTTAGGTCTTTATTTTTCCATTTATCCTTCTGTTGAGTATTCAGAACATATTAATGGAATCACTCGCTGTGCTCGTCACTGACAGCTCTGAGATTCTCAGGTTAGAAGTCCAGATCAAAAAGCTTCAGAAAATGCAGTTTTAAAGACATTACACTCCACAGTCAGACTGTGATTAAACAAGGTTGACATCCTCAGACTGTGACTAATCCAAGTTTAAATAACCAAGCTTTGATTAAGCCAGGTTTAGATACTGTGGACATACAGAAGTATTGTCAATTGTCCTTTGCTGCTGTTTTTACTGGTGTTTAATGAGTGAACGGCACTGGACACTACATTTCAGTCATGATAGTTAGTTGAAGGGCATTTTTTGAGTCAGGTTGTGATGATCTTGTGTCATCAGTCTTGTGTTTCCACAGTGACTCCCACCTTTACTACACAATCCACCAGTTCCAGCAAGACCACCACTGTTACACAACCCACCAGTTCAGCCTCCAGTGGAACTCCTCTCTCTAACATAGATTCATGTGAGTCAGTGCTAAAATACTGAAAGACAAAACAGACTCTTATTATTAATCAGGATTGTTATCAATCATGTTGGTAGATTTTGATTACTCAAGGATTTTATGTGACACATAAAATTTCAAGACTACATTTACATAAAAATACTAAGCAATACTGCATTACCCAAAAAGTTACAGTAGTTGATCTTCTGCTGTATTATGTTTGTCGAATGTCTTTTCTATTCGTCTTTCTTTTTAGTTTTTAAAACATCTTAATGGAATAATTTGCTGTTTTCAACACTGACAGCTCTGAGATTCTCAGGTCCAGATAGAGAAGGTCCAGAAAATACATTTTTAAAGACATTACACTTCATTGTCAGAATGTGATTAAACCACGCTGAGATCCTCAGACTGTGACTAATCCAAGTTTTAAAAAATCAAGCTTTGATTAATCTAGGTTTAGATAATCAGACTGTGATTACTCCAGATTTAGATTCTCAGACTGTGATTACTCCAGATTTAGATTCTTAGACTGTGATTACTCTAGATTTAGATTCTCAGACTGTGATTACCCCTTGTGTAGGTTCACATGATTTCGTGATGATTATGGCACAGCCACTTACATGAAACAAGAAGTGAAACAGTAAAAAATGATCTTACTTAAATAGGTTGAACGAAAGCATTTATGGTGTTTAAAAATCAGTGCTGCAGCTTATGGTAGTTTTTGTCAGTAGTTTGCCTGTAATTTTACAGTACATCAGCTATCAAGATGGGGCCCTGTAAAGGATCCTGCCCTGACTGTATGGCTTAAAATGTATGTTTCAAACCATTCTGGGTTTCTTTAGCTTATTTGGTGTCAATAATGATACAAAGTTTTAAACTTCTAGTGGCCATAGAGCTGAGGCTGTAATCAAGGAGATTGCTACTATAATCCTGATTATGTGTCCCAATTAAAAGTCTCTTATCTGAGTGCCATCACTTAATTCTGCATATCTTTAAATTCTCTCCAGTATCTTGTTTTCTTCAGTCGCCTAAGACCCCACACAGTGCATAATTATCGGTGACAGTGCAGTCCCTCAGAGACTTCATCTTCTTCTAGTATTGTGGATGTACAGTAATATTTTCATATTGTCCTTTGCTGCTGTTTTAATGGTATTTAATTGTAAAACAGTATTTTAAGAGTGAACTGCACTGGACACTACATTTCAGTCATGATACTTTAGTTAAAGGAAGTCATTGTAGTCCGGTTGGAATGATCAGAATTACTCAACAGTGTCCTCAATCCTTTTTTTCCACAGTGACTCCCACCTTTACTACACAGCCCACCAGTTCCAGCAAGACCACCACAGTTTCACAACGTTACAGTTCAACCGCAAGTGGAAATGCTCTCTCTAGCATAGCTTCATGTGAGTCACCGCTGAAGACTATGATCAAAAAAGGTTTAGATGCTCAAAATGTGATTAAACTGTGACAAAACTGAGATCCTCAGACTGTGTCACACCCAGGCTGTGATTAATCAAAGTTTAAATACTCAGTCTATGGTTAATCCAGGCTTAGATACTCAAATTCTGGTTTATCCACATTTAAAAAATAATCACACAAATTTGCCATTTACAAATAAATGTAATGTAGGTTCTTGCAGAACAGCATTCAGAAAAGGCTATTATTTCTGCTCCGAAATGCCCTTCTATTTTGACCAAGGCAGAAAAGCCATTTGAAAAGAAACTGAAATAGAAGACAGACCTCTTCTCCTTATGGTCTCCTTACAATCAAGCACATAAAACACATAAACACATCTCAAACTCAACAAACAAACTCAACTTTACTACACAATCCACCAGTTCCAGCAAGACCACCACTGTTACACAACCCACCAGTTCAGCCTCCAGTGGAACTCCTCTCTCTAACATAGATTCATGTGAGTCAGTGCTAAAATACTGAAAGACAAAACAGACTCTTATTATTAATCAGGATTGTTATCAATCATGTTGGTAGATTTTGATTACTCAAGGATTTTATGTGACACATAAAATTTCAAGACTACATTTACATAAAAATACTAAGCAATACTGCATTACCCAAAAAGTTACAGTAGTTGATCTTCTGCTGTATTATGCTTGTCGAATGTCTCTTTTAAGGGTCCAACAGTAATCAATGAGAAAACTAGGGCTGTATTTTTCTATTCGTCTTTCTTTTTAGTTTTTAAAACATCTTAATGGAATAATTTGCTGTTTTCAACACTGACAGCTCTGAGATTCTCAGGTCCAGATAGAGAAGGTCCAGAAAATACATTTTTAAAGACATTACACTTCATTGTCAGAATGTGATTAAATCACGCTGAGATCCTCAGACTGTGACTAATCCAAGTTTTAAAAAATCAAGCTTTGATTAATCTAGGTTTAGATAATCAGACTGTGATTACTCCAGATTTAGATTCTCAGACTGTGATTACTCCAGATTTAGATTCTCAGACTGTGATTACTCTAGATTTAGATTCTCAGACTGTGATTACTCCAGATTTAGATTCTCAGACTGTGATTACTCCAGATTTAGATTCTTAGACTGTGATTACTCTAGATTTAGATTCTTAGACTGTGATTACTCTAGATTTAGATTCTTAGACTGTGATTACTCTAGATTTAGATTCTCAGACTGTGATTACTCCAGATTTAGATTCTCAGACTGTGATTACCCCTTGTGTAGGTTCACATGATTTCGTGATGATTATGGCACAGCCACTTACATGAAACAAGAAGTGAAACAGTAAAAAATGATCTTACTTAAATAGGTTGAACGAAAGCATTTATGGTGTTTAAAAATCAGTGCTGCAGCTTATGGTAGTTTTTGTCAGTAGTTTGCCTGTAATTTTACAGTACATCAGCTATCAAGATGGGGCCCTGTAAAGGATCCTGCCCTGACTGTATGGCTTAAAATGCATGTTTCAAACCATTCTGGGTTTCTTTAGCATATTTGGTGTCAATAATGATACAAAGTTTTAAACTTCTAGTGGCCATAGAGCTGAGGCTGTAATCAAGGAGATTGCTGCTATAATCCTGATTATGTGTCCCAATTAAAAGTCTCTTATCTGAGTGCCATCACTTAATTCTGCATATTTTTAAATTCTCTCCAGTATCTTGTTTTCTTCAGTCGCCTAAGACCCCACACAGTGCATAATTATCGGTGACAGTGCAGTCCCTCAGAGACTTCATCTTCTTCTAGTATTGTGGATGTACAGTAATATTTTCATATTGTCCTTTGCTGCTGTTTTAATGGTATTTAATTGTGAAACAGTATTTTAAGAGTGAACTGCACTGGACACTACATTTCAGTCATGATACTTTAGTTAAAGGAAGTCATTGTAGTCCGGTTGGAATGATCAGAATTACTCAACAGTGTCCTCAATCCTTTTTTTCCACAGTGACTCCCACCTTTACTACACAGCCCACCAGTTCCAGCAAGACCACCACAGTTTCACAACGTTACAGTTCAACCGCAAGTGGAAATGCTCTCTCTAGCATAGCTTCATGTGAGTCACCGCTGAAGACTATGATCAAAAAAGGTTTAGATGCTCAAAATGTGATTAAACTGTGACAAAACTGAGATCCTCAGACTGTGTCACACCCAGGCTGTGATTAATCAAAGTTTAAATACTCAGTTTATGGTCCAGGCTTAGATACTCAAATTCTGGTTTATCCACATTTAAAAAATAATCACACAAATTTGCCATTTACAAATAAATGTAATGTAGGTTCTTGCAGAACAGCATTCAGAAAAGGCTATTATTTCGGCTCCGAAATGCCCTTCTATTTTGACCAAGGCAGAAAAGCCATTTGAAAAGAAACTGAAATAGAAGACAGACCTTTTCTAGTCATACACATTCTCCTTATGGTCTCCTTACAATCAAGCACATAAAACACATAAACACATCTCAAACTCAACAAACAGCAACATTAACAAATGTCACTTGAAGGCGGAGCATGTGCTACCCATGAGCCTGTTCACATGGCCCTCTAAAGCTCCCTCTGCATAATTTACCAGTGGCAGCTGCCATAGTCATAGATAGCATGTGGCAGGTCATTGTTATGCGTTAGCCTTTAATTTTCAGCAAGCAAGATGGGGGCCCACGAATTATATCACATTTTTAAAAGGTTTAAACTCTTCATGTATCTGAACACTGTGTAAACGTATTAGCTATCAGCAAGTAGACCATAGAAGCATTGTTATACTCTAAGCTAAGAACATTATTTTAGGAAACTTAGACAGTGAATGAACACTTACAGTGCCCTCAAAACAACATGTTGTTGTGGGGGGTGGGATTACATGGCCGGGTTACAAATATTGGAGGGGTTGTAGCCTTCTCACCCCCCTTGAAATTACACTATTCAACAAGTGCCATTTCTTCTACCTTCAGTAAATCTCTATGAAATGTCTGGAGCTTTATTAGTTTGTTTGTGTTTCTGATCCTTTACGTTTACTTCTGTGACAGCTATGAGAGCAACATTTATAACTATTTTCATACAGTATATCCTAATATTTATGACTATGGTCACATAACTTGAATACTACTTGTCTATGCTCAGTTTCACAAAGTACAAACCCTTTCTTTTAGAAGAAAGTACATTTTTATATTACAGTGTACAAAGACACCAAAGATATGCTTGGAGAAACCAAGGAGCAACATTTAATGAAAATAACTCCTAGCCAACTATTAAGCATGGGGGAGGATGTTTATGCTTTGGGGTTGTGTGGCAGACAGTGGCACAGGAAACATTGCATGGGTAGATGGAAGAATAGGTTCCACTAAATATCAGCAAATTATGGACGCAGTCAGTCAGGAGACTGAAGCTGAAAAGAGGTCAGCTTCTACAGCAGGATAATGATCCAAAACATACCTCAAAATCCACCATGAACTACTTTTCCTCTGTTTACTTTAAGAAGAGTTGCATGAAAAAGTTTCTGAACGTGTGGAACTCCCCAGACTTCTGCAAGAATGGCTCCTAAACTATGAACTAATATTCACATAATGATAATAAACAAAGAGTTTTTTAAAAAACTGTGCATGCAAGAAGGCCCAAAATATCCAAGAACTAGAAGTGTTCTGCAAGGAATAGTGGGTGAAAATTCCTAAAACAAGAATTAAAATGATATTTTAAAAGGGGTATTAATAAGTACTTATTTAATTCACATTTTCACATGCCACAATTACTATTTTATCCTTTTCTATTTTCTACTATTTCTATTTTGTAGCTTCCAATGTTTTGTTTACTTCTGTTCACTTTGTAAATCACCACAATATAGAATTTACAACTGGCCATGCAGCTGTAAACTATGGATCTAAAACTTATTTTCATTCTCTTCGTTTCACTGTTCCTTTACTTTTATTCTGTAAAATGAACAATAGCAGGGAGGAAGGCTTTGTTGCTTTCTTGTTTTTCTAATCTAAATGTTGGCATCAGAAAATGCACATTTCAGATTTGAGAGATCTGCATTAAGTCCCATCACACCCTAATTTTGGGTTTTATTCGCCAGATGGAGCTTCCTCAGAGAGTACTCGCAATAACTCAGGTAAGTCATGGCTCTAAAATTTCTGCTTTGTTTGTATTTTGATTTTGTTCCTGATCACTTAATTTTATTCTATAACAGAAACGACAATAATACATCACACTTCATCACAAACAGAAATCACATTCAACCCAGTCTGTTTAGTTCAGTTTAAAACAGTCCTCCTCAGTCCTGAGACTGGAAAGTTAAAAAAAAAAAATCAATGGTTTGTCATGAAGTTTATTAGAAAGCATTTAATATTCAGTGTCCAGTATACTGGACATTTGGACTTGTAACACATGAAATGTGTAAATCTTTCAAAAATGGTCATCTTTGCTGTCACTAACATTGCTCAAAGCAAGCCCTTGAAGTACCATGAAAAAGTTTCTGAACTCTTGGAACTACATGGACTTCTGCAAGAATTGTTTCTAAAATGTGAAATAATCTTCACATCATAATAATAAACAAAGAGCTTTTAAATACAAAGTGTATCCAGTAATTTAACATTAATATGTCTGAATTGAGCAAGTGTTTAAACAGCCAAGCTCACTGATAGTGTTGTAGTACTCCAGTTTGGTCTTGAATGTGGTCTCAGTGAACTACAACTTAATTTCCTTTTTTGATGGATAAAAACACACAGTTTGGTTACTTTCTCTTCAAAGCAGAGTTACTAGCATCTCAGCTAATTCAAACATATTCAGAAACCTTCTCTGGTCGCTGTACAAACATGTTTTGGCTTGGGTCTGTTACAGTGATGATAATAAATGATAGTAAAATTTTCAAAATTTTGCAGATTTCATGAGCCCAATTTCAAATGTCCAGTATATTGGACATTCAAATCAATACAAATGATGGGGGAAAAAAACAGTTATCTGCCAAGAACATCATCCACTGTCACTCCTAAATAAACATAAGATTCTACTTTTAACCAAATAAACTAAAATCTTGAATGATAACAGTTTTGTAAAGTCCAAATGTACAGATTACATTAAACATCTCATAATTTATGTATGGACCAATAATATCCACTATTATTTTTTACCTTTCACAAGAGGGACCTTTTGGAAAGACATGCATAAAATAATATTTCTGAAACAAATACAGGATAATTTAGAAACAATGTTTGATTTGGTCTTGGAGGTGGTCAGCACTGTCCTTTATTGGTGTAGCAAAAGAACATTCAATCAAAATCCATACTTTAATACATGATTCAGTTACGTGAAAGCTTATGTACACTATCCTATTCTAAATATTGTCACTGTCCAAGAAAAAAATGGTAACTTTACAGGAGAGGGTGAAAACCTTCTTTTAGTGGAAGTTAATATAAAGAGGTTTCTACTGGCCCAATTATCATTATATTTTCACACAGTGTAATCACTAAACATGGAGATACTTTTTTGCTTTGTTTTTTTGGACAGTGATGATCTGCATAATTTAACATTCCCTTTTTCAGACAGTGGAAACATCTCAACATTGAATTATTTCTAAATTCCGATGAGGTTTCAGAGAAAGAAACAAACGTGCAAGTAAATGTAATGTATTATGAAAAAATGCAGTGATTATTTTCTATCCAAAAGGTGCAGTTTCCTCTGCCTCCACTAAACCGCCAGGTAATTTATGGCTGTAAATTGTATTTGTTTGTTTGCGCTTCTTTTGCAATAGTCATACGTAGATTAGCATTCATAAGGATGCTGCAGTGCAGAGAGGTGTGTTGTGGATTGAAACTGTACACATAAAGTACGATGAAATTTTCAATGGAATTATCTGTTAACACATATACTGTGTCAACATTTTAATGTTCAAAGAGTCAACATCATTCGTATATGATAACAGCATTTAGAACAACAGTAAAGCCAATCATTTTGGCCATATACACAGGGTATATATTTTATTGCAGAAAACCACATTTAACCAAATATATTTAGTTCAGTTTAAAATGTGTTAATTTACTGGTCAGTTATCACATGTCAATGGTGTACCTACAGATCTGACTGTGTAGCAGAAAAAACAAACCTGACTCAGCAGAGAATTAGCTGTTCTGACTTCTCACTTAAGGAAATATACTGTATTATAAATGCCAGCTATCAAAAAAAAAATGATCTCATTATGTGTCTCATATACTGATTTTAGGTCTCAACCAAACAGCTGCAGTTTCCTCCAGCATGGATCAACTTCAGGATACATTAAAACTCTACAAATTTTTGTTTGTGCTCTTTTTTATTCTACAATGGATATTATAGCAACATTCAGGCTCAGTGTTGATCAGTAGAGCTCCATCTTAAGTCAATAAGTTAACACAAAGTAAAAATAAGAGTCTGATATTGTCAGTGTGACACTGCAGTGAACAGAATTCTACCGAATTGTTTCTTGTAGTTCAATGCATTTAAAGAGCTGAACTGCTCTGAGCTTTATTTTACAACAACATCAGCTTTCAGATTCATGTAGAGTGCATTTAATGCTATCTAGCACTGAATATGAGTTGAATTTGGACTAAAGCCTAATATGATATATGTGTTGTGAGGATATTGTACATTTATACATACAAGTCAGTAAGAAGGGTTGTAGATGTAACTTTTTTTTTAATTGGCAAAAAATTGCCAGATATGCCAGATATATCTGATGTGTTCAACTGCTGCAACTGTCTCCATCATAACTAACTAGGTAAATTCTGTGGAATATATGACAGTAACACTCAGTTTTTTTGCAGTGTAACACATGCAGACTGATGTAACTACCCTATAAACAAATAAACTGATGGAGTTACTCACCATGTTAGTTGTTTGATTATTTGCTGTATTGTTTGTGTAATTATTGTAAAGTATTCATGCACAAAATTGTAGTCCTTAATCTACAGTTTAGAACTTGGCTGTGTACACTTTGCAATTGCTACAAGCATTTTGCCAAAGCATTTTACAAGCATTTTTAGTACTGAGGTCTCTTTTTCAAAACTCTTCACACAGCACAACAACACTCTGTTTGGAAAAA